GAAAGAAATCCCATTTAGTACCAGGGGTTTGAAGTTCTTAAATCCCTTCTGGAGGCTGCTAAGCCGTGCGTTTTAAAGATCACGTTTACCTCAGACCTCAGATACTTCTTCAGAATCATTCTTCAGGATCTGCCTGCAGGGCAGACATTGTCGCAGGAGCGCGGCAGGTTATGGCCCTGGGACTTCAGTCACCTTTTGCAAATGTGGTGCTTGCAACGCTAGTTCAAACTAGGTTGACGGTGACTCAGTCTCATGAGTAGTAGTGCTAATGGAGGTCTCAAGGAGGACGTTTCTGTACAAACTGACTCGCGGTTCAAGTGTGAACTCTTTAATTAGAAGGAAAAAACCCCATGGTTTTCAAATACATTTAATGAATAAAATGTATACCCATTATTCACATAAAAATAACTTTACAATTCAAAGTCGTACAGCTGACAAAAAGCAGTAACATGGTTGCAATCAAAAACCATAACCCTTAACAAAAAAAAAAAAAAAAACCAACAAAACCCAAACCTCCAAAAACTCCGCCAAAAACCAAAACCCCAAACCAACCCCCCCCCCCCCCCCCCATGATTTTCATGTAATCTGACCTTCACACAAAGGCTTTTACTATTACTTTTGACGTCATGAGCAAAAAGTACCGTTTTTACTTACAGTGGCGCGAGTTTTCAGGTAAGCGTTGAGTCAATAAAGGTGTCGATTATACAGCAAACTTCAAATTTTGGAATTCTGTTCAACTCTTGCCATGGCAGCAAGAAACGAAAAGGCACAAGGGCTTCTGCGTGAAATCTTGACTCCATTTAAAGGTACTCCCTCAGTTCAGAAACCACAGTTGGTTCCAAAAGGCGGTCCTCCAAGGTTAAAGCTTTTTGTTGCACCGCGTCATGCTGCTGTGCCGAGTTTCCCCTCTGCTCTAGGGGGTGCCTCTTAAAAAAGAGAAAGCGAAACAACGGTGTATTTGGAAGTGTAATAATTAAGCTGTGTTTAGAGGAGGGAAGGATCTCCGCTACTGTAGCGTGGCTGCTGCTGGTAAATGTCGTTTTAGCGGCTACTTCTTAGCCACTCTCTTCCTATGTAATTACACTTTGCTAATATGGTACAAAATCTGTTAAAAATCATAAGCCAAGTTCTATTCGAGTACAGCATTAGATCTTTAAATGGATTTACTGTAAATTTCAATCTACTTTCACCTCCACCTGCCAGACACGATGGATAACAAGGAAGATTAAAAAGGGATCATTGTAATATTCTTCCCCTTCCAGGGAAGGGATAGAGCAGCTATAGTCTATAAATTTTGCACCGTATTATGAAACGGTCACTTCTGAAACTTTTAAAGAAATCTTTTGCAGACACACACAAAATGGAAATTTCTTTCTGATAGAAAAAAGCGGTTTGAGTCAAATGAGATCAAGATGATGAATTTTTTTAACATTTGCGGAGATACCAGCTACCAACGGCGAAGCAGTGGTAGGTGGCACAGGGCGAGGACCGAGCGGCGAGAAGGCTCCGCAGGGCCAGCTAACGCCGCTCCCACGGCGGCGGCCCGCATTAAGGGGCTCATCAGTCCCCTTACACCGGTTTGAGCGAACCCATACAACCAAGACCCCGGCTCCTTTTTTGCCTGCCAAGGGCCCGACAGAGCAGCCTAAAGTCAACCGCCACCTTCCTCTGTGTCCTAAATGGAGCTAAAGGCAAATCCTAAATACTCCACGAGTGAACTCTGTCCTGCTTTGCTTTATATTTGCATAGCAGTAGTCGATGGAGCACATTAGAAGACAGAAGCAGCAGCCTCAAGGAATTTAGTATCTGCTCTTATGAAGACAAATAAAAAAAAGCCCCATAGGACAGGCAGGTCCGCAAGATAAAAGGCGGAGCCGGACTCTGAAGTGCTCGATGTCAGAACGCTTTGCAGACCAGGAGGCTGTTTTAACTGTGGTGTATCGAGGCTAGGAACTCAAGAATTAAGATCGAGGCTTTGACCCCAGCTTGCAAGTATTATTTAGCTACAAGGGTGCTCCCTGGTCTACTGATGGCAGATGCCATCTGTGCAACAGCATTAGGCGGGGTGAATTAAGGACAGTTGCGTGCAGATTTGCAGCAGTAACCATCCACGAACAGAGGGCCAAGGAAACCTCTCGCAAATTAAAAGGTGACACCAGACACTGTCACGACAATTTCATCTGCTCCTTTAGGAGGTCGCTCCTGATGGTGGAGAGATGATACTTACTATCCCGTAGAGCTGAAGTATCCCGTATCTGAGGGTGCAGAGGAGGAGAAGAAAGTTGTCAAAAAAGATGCTGGCAATGCTGAAGTAGCGAAGAAAGAATTTCTAGCGCGCAGCCTTGGCTGCAGAGTTTAATTTTAACTGTGTTAAAAATAGAAGCATATGATAGGAACCTTAACTAAAAAAATTTACAGCTAGAGTAGTCACGCTGCGATTTCACTGCGGCCCCTTTCCACACCACTGCTGCGGCATGGTGTCAGCGTACTGTAATGTTCTCATTTCTGTTCGGAGCACCCCTCTACCTACACGCTTTCACAACCACTGATCTTGGCAGCACCTTCGCAGTGGTTTATGGCCTTGTGGGTACGCTCAACATGTAGAGCGTTTGGTTTTTTTCACGTAAAGAAAAACAAATTGGATTTTCACTCAACTCTCCCTTCTCAAACTGCGTGCGAGAAGACAGAATAGCACGCTGGTGGTCTTTTTGCCCTTGTTGCCTGCATCTTCCTTGCAACGCTGTTTACAAATACTCCAAAGTTCATTGGATTCTGCTTCACGCAACGGCCCCATAAAACCAAGTTACAGCAGATAGGAGGTCAAGATTTACCTTGGAAGCCTGCCTGCCTTGGGTTGGCTGTCAGGTGCAAGTCATCCCTGTCCCCCCAGAAGCTGCAGACTTTCAGGTGAGAGAGAGAGAGAGAGAGAGAATTCTATTGCTAGACAGTGTGAGGAAGGCAATAATAATACAAAACCCTAAGTTGTCACAACCTGTGATTCGCTGCACCTTTTTCTGCCCATTGCAATGGCGAATTTAAACTCCATCTAGAAGAGCCCCTGGGCCAAGCTGGATCAGTAATTCTGGATCACTGCAGCAGGAACACAAAGCCACCGGGAATGCTCCTTCTCTGCTGACTTCTCCAACCCCCGCCCCCCCACCCCATCAGGCCCTACAGCCGGAATTTGAGCTGCAGTAAAACAAACCCACAGAAATGCTCAGGTGAGGCAACAAAGATGCAAAAGAAGGTGGAGTTTAGCGAGCAACGCAGCTGTGCGTGGGCGTAATGAGTACTGACCAAGTCATCTTCCCTCTAGGACTGGCCTAGTCCCAGACCCTTAAGATCTCCCGTAGGGTGTACAGGCATTTCACAACTGTCTGCAGCATTTGCTGACCAGTTGTATGTACAGATGGAGACGGACCCTGACCTTTGCTGTCCCTGTCCCTTTATCTGTGCATGTGAGGTCCAACTCATGGCCCTGCAAATGGCTCCATCTCACCTGCTGCCTTTTCCCCCCAAAAAAGACTGGCAACAGCTGTGCCAGACCCCGTGTTACCCCAGCACCTGCACAGGCATCCATTGCCTTGTCATGGCAGCCTTTGGAGAAAGGCCTAAGAGCTGGGTTCAGTACTTAGAGCTGCAGAGGCTGCACTACCATGAGCTAATCCTAACGAGCACT